CTTACCAGCAGTGAATGAAAGCTTCAGTGTCCCCACATTCTGACAGACACTTGCTACTTTCTGGTTTTTGTTTGTCTTGTATTATTGTAGCTATCCCAATATGCTTGAAGTAAATTCTCAGTATGGTTTTGGTTTGAACTTCCTTAATGACTAAGGATATTTAGCATCTTTTCATGTGTTCATTGGCTACGTGTTTATCTTCTTTGAAATGGCCTTCATTTTTTTCTTTCTGTTGATGGTGCCGTTTAGAGTACTAAAGCTTTACGTTTTGATGAAGTACTATTTATTTGTATTTCTTGGTTACCTATGCTTTTGTTGTTATCTAAAAAACTTACCTAATCTAAGTTCCTGCAGATTTACATACAACTTTTTTTCAAGAGTTTTACAGTTTGAGCTTTTATATTTAGATGATCTTTTTCTTTCTTTTTTTCTTTTTGTTCTCTTTTTCTTTCATTCTTTGCTGGGCCTTTCTCACTATGTATCCCAGAACTGCCTCAAACTCATCATAGTCTTCCTGCCCCTAACTCCCAAGTGCTGGGATTATAAGCATGCACCACCATGCCTGGTTTGAGTTAATTTTTGTATGTGTTGTAGGTAGGGTTCCAACTTCAGTCTTGTGCATGTGGGGATGAAGTTTATTTGCTGAGATTATTCTTTCTCCATTGAATTATCTTGGATACTTTGTCAGGGATAATTTAGCTGCAAATATATGGGTTTATTTCTGGAGGTTTTTTCCCCCTAAGTTTGAATATTGACTTGGCTGCTTGCAAACAAGAATGACCATACACAGATTACTTTTTGTGATGATAGTACCTCTTTTTAGAAAACTGTGAAAGCGATAATTGGTCTTGGAAAGGTGCTTAGATAGTAGTGGAGGAATGGAAAATGGAGGGTATTTGAAAAAATGTTGAAACATTAGGAGTAACCAGAACAAGGAGCCCTCATAAATGAAAGATGAATAAATAAATGTTTGGAGAACTTGCAAAAATTATTCAGTCCCCCAAACTGGCTAAAGAAGTTATTGCATCATAATAAAATAAAGCAGAATAGAGTAACAGGCATGGTGGTGTATCCCTGTCATCCCACCATGTGGGAGGTGGAGGCAACAGGAGCGGATGATAGAGCTCAGCTTCAGCTATATGACAGTTTTGAGGTAAGCATGGGCTACATAAGACCCTGCCTCAAACAACCAAAACAGCCATAACAATAGCAATAACAAAATAGAAATGTTATTTGAACTATGAAACGACTTATTCTTTTTAAACATTTTTATTTATAATTTTTATTTTTTATGTGTATGTGTGTATTGCCTGCATGTAGGCAAGTGCAGCCGTGTCATGCAATGCTCGCAGAGGTCAGAAGAGGCTGTAGAATCCCCTGGGACTGGAGTTATGGACAGCAGACATGTGGTAGGTAAGTGCACCCACGTCGTGCAATGCCTGCGGAGGACAGAAGAGGCTGTAGAATCCCCTGGGACTGGAGTTATGGACAGTTGTTAGCAGCCATGTGGGTGCTGCAATTCGAACCTGGGTCTTCTGCAAGAACAACCAGTGTTCTTAACTGCTGAGCCATCTCTCCAGCCCCTAAATGACTTATTCTTTATAGAACTGAAAACAGTTAAGGTTGGTTACTTAAAAGGACTGACACTGGACTTTTCTGTTAAGGTCTTCAATAATCTTTTGAAAGCTATGAGAAATCTACTCTTTGTGTAATAAATTCATATGACAGGGCTTAGAGAGATGTTCAGTGGTTAAGAATACTTGCTATTCTTCCAGAGACTTGGGTTCGATTTCCAGCATCCATATGACAGCTAACAACTGTTCATAACTCCAGTACCAGGGGAGCCGATAACCTCTTCTGGTCTCTGTGGGGCATTGCATGTACATGGTGTACTTACATGTATGCAAGCAAAACACTCATACACATAAAATAAGTAAAATATTTTTTAAATGTGTATGACATTCACACACTCTGAAGACATTTGTAGGAGGTCCAGAAATCCTTAGTTAGAACCTCTATTTTGACCTTTTGTAAAGCAATCATGTCCCATAGCGTGTTTTCCCAAGCTTAATTTCACAGTGAAGTTCAAGCATCATATTGACTCAGGAACAAATTTGAGGGGTTCCAGTGAAATTGAAGAGGTTTTTTTTCTCTAAGAGAAGAATTTATATAACATTCTCCTAAGACAGGAGAGCTGTGGTACTTTAACTGATTTTTATACAGGGTCTCAACACATAGAGATGACTTACTTTAACCTTGTTTCAAGAGAAGAATTTATATGGCACTCTTCTAAGACAGGAGAACTGTGGTACTTTAGCTGATTTTTTTTTTGGTCTTTTTGAGACAGGGTCTCCCTGTAGCCACAGGTGTCCTGGAACTTACTATGTAGACCAGGCTGGCCTTGAACTCACAGAGATCCCCCTGCATCTGCCTCCCGAGTGCTGGGATTAAAGGCGTGTGGCACCACGCCCGGCTTAACTGATTTTTATACAGGTCTCAACACATAGAGATGACCTGGTTTCTGACCAATCCAGGTAGTTTCCAACACAGACACTTCATGCAGACATGAAGCTCTGAAAGAGGTTGTAAGAGAAATGAAATGTCAGAGATGGTCCTGGAGGAAAAAGAGAGGATTCTGGATGAAATCAGAATGAGATAGGCAGATTGTGAGGGCCGCAGAGAGACAGAAATAGAAGCAGAAACAGCCGATTAGAAACCCTCTTGGAAATAGTCAAGATAAACTTCAGTGAACGAGGTGAGATGATTAAAATAAAGGTGTAGGAGAAAGAGCACAGGCATTGGCATTAGACTGACTTCGGCGCTGGGTGTGTACTTCTGGTTGATTTACTAATGACTCTGAGCCTCACTTTCGTAACTATGTGATGCATATACTAATAATACCTTATTCAACGTCTTGAAGGAACTAAAGGAAATAATGTATATAAAGTGCTTACCATAGTACTTGGAAAACAGAGGTACTCAATAAATACTGTATCCCTTCTTACTTCTGGTTTGAGCAATACTCTATTAACCATTATTGAATACCTATTGTTTGCCAGGCACAATGCTGTGAATAAAAATACAAAATTATTGATACCCTCCAGGAGAAGAGAGAGTTAGTTTGAGACACAGATATGTAAATGAAATAATACAGAATGTTCTAGAAGTCACCACTGGTTGAAGAACACCTGGGTTGCTAGGCTTGGGTGATGACATTCATCAGACAGGGAAATTTAGAAGAGGAGTAGATTTTGTAAAGGTGGGTGATTGGGAAGGATGACTTCATTTATGGACATACTGAATTTGAGCATTTGATGGAAATCACATGAAACTATCTAAGGCAATATTCCCACATCGTGTGGAAGTTGTGATATTTCTTCTTTAAAGACATCTAATTCTAATAGTCATATACATACACATGCTTTAAAATGCTTGCAAATTATAAAATAAAAGTACCACATATCTCATTTTAAAAATAAATGTAGGTACGCAAACCTTTGAGCCTACTAAACTGACTGGGAGTGACTGCTTTTGTTCCAGTTTACTGCAGATTCCATTAAATAGCTGGTTAGTTCAGTCCGTTTTAAAGGGCTTGATTTAGAGCATCTTTTAGATATACATTTATTGTACTTCAGTACTAGATATAATCATACTCAGTATTTATGAATCCTGGGAGAGAACTACACAGTTATCAGTAGCCAATGACAGTGTCTGAAAAAATACCAGTATTAGAATCAAGTTTTAAAACCCCGATGAGGGTTTATAATGGTAGTGAGATGAACAAGAGCTGCTCAAAATCAAAAGATACCCTTTTCTTTTCTATTAACAGAATCAACAGTTTTAGTCATTAGGGCATGATTTATATTTTTCCTTAGTTAAGTCTAGCTTAGAATGTTTATATGTGAATTGTAACTAATGGAAGACCCATAACAGTATCTGTATGTTCCTCAGAAATGTCTGTGGGAGAATAGATGAGCTATCAAACTGGTTGGTTCTTACCAGTTTGGAGATGCCTTTTACTCCCTGGTACACATTAAAATGAAAGTTACAAGATCTGAAATTTTCTGACTGTTCACCTTGACAGTTTCTATCTAGATCTTGATTTGCATCTGATTATATTTTAGGAAGTAGCAAAAGATGCATAGATGAGCTTCATTTGTGCTAGTTGAGCAGGTATTTAACAATAAAACCAAACTGAAGCTGTCATTGATCAGCAATCGCTGCTGAGTAAGTCTAAAGTTGAAATTCTTCCTTATTAAACTCGATGAAATTTGGAGGATTTTCTGAAGGTGAGAGAAGAAAGTGAAAGTGCAAACTGTCATCTTTTGTCTCCAATAATTCAGTTTACTAGAAATGGGATGAAACAGAAATTTCCATGTGCGGTAATAGGAAGTAATTCAAGTTCGCACTATGAAGAAAAAAAAAAAAACACTTACTATCCTTCACTGAGAACTTCATTTTTCTAAAGCCCTCTGTCCTTTTTTCCTGTAGACTTTAGAATGGAAACATTTCAGGAAGCAGAAAGCTAGTTTGAAATACAGCTTTGTTTTCCTTCCTCTGGATGTAAAACAGGAGCAGCCCTTATATCTTGCCTTGAAGTGAAATAGAGAACAATATTGGAGAATAGTTTTGAGAAATTTGCAGGGCTCCAGCTCATCACAGTCCAGGAGAAGAGATGTCAGTGTAGAATATATGAGAGAATGGTCCATGCCAGTTGTATGAGCCAGAATGGTACTGTTAATCAGGAAACCAGGATTCTGAGGTGGTCCCTTGGTTCTATTTATTAGTGAAGAAAAATACACTCGCAATTGTCAAAAACAAGTTTTGAATAGAGTGGGTAGAGAAAGGCTTCTAGATTAATTCCCAAATAACTTTCCTATTGCTCAAGCATGCCTGGGGAGTCTATCACATCTAAAGCCTCCATTGGTTACAGTGTAATTATTCTACATCCACTTTTCCTTTGGAAATGCTAAATGACTCTTGCTTTGTATTGCTTGCAGGTGAAAGCCCAGCTCCTGTGGTTCTTAATGCCTCAGCAGGATTATTTTCACTAAAGATGGAAACACTGGAGTCTGAATTGACCTGTCCAATCTGCCTCGAGTTGTTCGAAGACCCCCTTCTGCTTCCTTGCGCTCATAGCCTGTGCTTCAGTTGTGCCCACCGCATCTTGGTCTCCAGCTGCAGCTCTGGTGAATCCATTGAACCCATTACTGCTTTTCAGTGTCCTACGTGCAGGTATGTTATTTCGCTGAACCACCGGGGCCTGGATGGTCTCAAGAGGAATGTGACCCTGCAGAACATTATTGATCGCTTCCAGAAGGCTTCAGTCAGTGGGCCCAATTCCCCAAGTGAGAGCCGTCGGGAGAGGACTTACAGACCCAGTTCCGCCATGTCTAGTGAGCGAATTGCTTGCCAGTTCTGTGAGCAGGATCCCCCAAGAGATGCGGTGAAAACATGCATCACCTGTGAGGTCTCCTACTGTGACCGTTGCTTAAGGGCCACACACCCCAATAAGAAACCTTTCACCAGCCATCGCTTGGTGGAGCCAGTTCCAGACACACATCTTCGAGGGATTACCTGCCTGGACCATGAGAATGAGAAAGTGAATATGTACTGTGTATCTGATGACCAATTGATCTGTGCCTTATGCAAACTGGTGGGTCGTCACCGAGACCATCAGGTCGCTTCCCTGAATGATCGATTTGAGAAATTAAAGGTAAGGCTTCTGGGGAATTTCCCTCATACAACTTTGATTTAGTACATAGCTCTATAGGTAGCAAACTCTCTAGTAAACTGGGTCACTTTTCCTACAGGACAAGTGAGTCAACTCCAAGTTGTTCCCATGAGGAATAAACTACTCACTGAAAGCTCTTCCTGGAACTTATTCCACCTGTTCCCTAGGCCTGCTTGCATTCATCTATTTCTGTACAATTCTAGGGAAAGTAAGCCCATGGTTCATTTAACTGCTAATCCATCTAGGGAAACAGCAGTCTCTCTCCTCTGGGACACATTACACATTACATATCTTTGCTATGATCTTACCACCTCTTCTTTTAAGTGTGTGAATGCCCGTGTAGGTGTACTGCAATTAGCATATGTGCTGATTTGCATATGTTAGGGTGTGCCTCAGTGTAGGTGTGGGTGGAAGTGTCTAAGTGTATCTGTGCAGATGAGAGATTTTTGTGGAGGACATCAGTATATGTTTGTGTTTGCATGCTTAGTACAAGGGTTGGGGATGTGGTTGAGTGGTAGAGCACTTGCCTAGCAAGTGCAAGTCCCTGGATTCTATCTCCAGCACTGCAAAAAGAAAAACAAAAGGCTAGTCAGTACAGTAGAGAAACAAATGCTTGTCCAGGGCCATTGCAAATTGCCATTGAGCACTTTCACTCAGAGCTAATTCTTAGCCTGCCTTGATAAAAGAAAACAAAACAAAAAATAAAGCAGTACACCACAAAATGGAGGTATAGTCAAATACCTGAACTAAAAATTTAAAATGAAAGCAATAAATATTTAACCTAGCATCAAATTTTGTGCCTGCGTTTGCTTATGTGGACCACAGGCTGGATAAAGCATTTGTTTGCAGTCTCCACCTTGAACATTGCAAATCTTTGGCTTGTGTTCAGTGGGCAGTTTTCTGAAGTTGTTGAATTAAATATCTATTTGCAAGTCTAGATGCCTAGTTTTCAAGTTTTATCTCACTCTCATGTTCACAAATGTCAGACCTAGCAAACTGTTTTATTCCTAATGCCTGCCTCCTATGTGGCATGATTTTTCTTTAAGAAGGAACCTACTAAAACTAAAATGTTTAAATGAATAGCAATATTATCATTCCCAAACAGGGCCTGTGCACATGAGCCAAGCCAGAAGAAAGGTCAGATAGCATAGCAGGAGGGCGAGAAGGCACTGGAGATTTTCATTTTGATATAATCTGGAAGTTTTATTATTCAAACTTATGTGAAAATTAAAAAGTTGGTGAGGGTAACTGTAAGATACATTTTCTGTTATGTAATTTTTTGCACATAGTATTGAGAGTGGTCACACTAACAATGGTTTGTGCCCTTTTTTGGTAATCATTGATATTTAATATGCAATCTCTTCTCAGACTTTTGGTTAAGATCAAGAATATATGTAATGAATATAAAAGTCAATGTCTATCTTTTGATTTTAAGTCAAGGTGAAACTTTCATTCGTGTTAGGACTGCAGAGGGGAAGGGAATGATATCATTGACTTAACCTCTTAGAATCATACAGTATTAGGCATTGGACCTGGTCTAGTTGAAGCTTTATTAAAGTTTCATAAACTGAGACTTTGAGATGTTAAGGGATATGGTCAAAGTTAACAGAACTGGTTAGTTATAGGAGGGCTGGAACCGAAACCTAGCCTGTAGACAGAGTCAATTATCTTTTCCACTGTAGTGTGTGACCACTAGGCTTTGGAGCTATGTTTTCCTTGCAAAATGTAATTTATAACTTAAATTTATGCTCCAGCAACTGCAGTTTTATGATACATATAGTATCACAGAAACGACATTATATAAACTTAGAGCTTCATGATGGCATAAGATGGGGGTAGTGTTGTAGGAAGAGTGGGGGATATGGAGAAGATGGAGTAATCTCTGCCAAATATATGCAGGTGTTAGGATCATAACAAATCATTGGCCTTGAGAAATATTCCAGAAAGAAATATCTGCATCCATATGTACTGTTGAGATAACAAAAAGGCTGAGTAGAGTAAGCCTATATCTATAGAACATTGGATATCTGAAAACATGAAAACATGGGGTGATTGATCAGGCATTTGGCATCATGCAGCTAGGGCCCTCATCTCTGGGGACAGGGGGAACAGAAAAGTATTTTATGAAAAGATACTTAATCTGTGACTAATCAGCAATTTTTGGAGAAAAAGAAGCTGTATTTTTTAAAATAGTTTCCCTTTAATTTTTTAAGAAATGTACAGAAAAGTCGGATTATAAATTAAGGGGAAACTATTTTTGCTCATTTTTGGAGACTGGAAATACATGAATCATTCCCAATTGTGTGGTTTGTTATGTTTTCTGGGACATCTTGGACTTTAGGGAGGAGAAGGAGGTGCTGCTTGTGTGTGTGTGTGTGTGTGTGTGTGAGAGAGAGAGAGAGAGAGAGAGAGAGAGAGAGAGAGAGAAACAGAGACAGAGAAACAGAGACAGAGACAGAGAAACAGTAAGAGAGAAAGAGACCAGGAGACAGTGTTTGGAGGAGTTCCTCCATATGGTGCCAAGTGGAAAAGAATATTAGTTTTCCATATTAAGCAGAGAAATCTGACTTTTACTGTCACATGTACACACTTCTTTTCATTAATTTAAATTAAAAATGCATTTAAGGTCACCCTTCTTGATTCCTTGATTCCTCCCTAACAAGAATGGGGAAAGGCAGCTGGCTGGCAGAAGCTGGGAGACCACTTAAGTATACTCTTCTGGCCAGAGAGGAACAGGAAGTCCTGTCAGAAAGGGGGAAAAAATGTTAGCACGCACACATGAGTTTATTTTTCTGCTCAGTAACTGATGCAATGTTTATTTTTGCTTTTTGACTCTGGGGCTTCGTTTTTGGCCTTTATAACTACGTTTAAGATTAGTGACCTGTAATATTGTTCAATGAAGAATAAAAAAAAATTACAGTATAGAAGAAAGGTCAGAGTGACCAGAAGCTAGCTTGGTTTTTGAGCATGTACTCAAAATGGAATTGAAGACTTGGGGATACTTCTATAATATTTCATGATCTTATTTGTTTTTGTCTATGTATATATAGGGTTGGGATGTAGGGCATACAACCTTCAGAAGGCTGTCTGTGGTTTGATTAATTATTCAGTGTCAAACAGCACTCATGTTCCTGACTGTGATATATATTTTAGTTCATTGTATATGCTTAATTTTTATAAAACTGCTTCACATTTCAGAATTTTCATTGTCGCACGAGTTCTTCTCCTTGTAAAAGACTGATGTTATTAAATGTTGACTTTATAAAAAGAGGCCAATTTCAGTAGCTCTTTCTAGCTGATAGACTTCAACCTCATATTTTAAGATCTGCTTTTATCTTTTAATGTTGTCTATTTACACTTTCCTCTCACAACTCTCAAACTTGCTACCTAGATCTATTCAGGTGAGCCTCCTAACTGGGTGCTAAATATCCTGTTTTTTTTTTTTTTTTAATATCCTGGGTTTTTTTTTTTTTTCAACTTTCACTAGTGCTCTCCCCTTGGCTTGTTTAGGAATTCTGCCTATGTTTAGAGCTCTCTAGTCAAACCCCAGAAGTCTATTCCAGCATGCCACAAGCACATCATAAATTCCTTGAGGCCAAACATAATGCCTTTTGGTTTCTTCCCGATCCTCCAGTACACATACATAGTATATCTTTAAGAAATCTAAATGAATTAAATCTTTATAATGATATGTTTTTCTATTTGTTTGGGTTTTTAGAAATATCTTTCTGAGTTTTGTGCATTTCATATAATAGATCTTAATCAAATTTAGACTCCCCTGCCCCATCCATGCTCCCTATACCCCTCGCCAGATTTCATGCATTCTGCCATATATGTTAAGTCTGTCTTGTCAAGCATTTGTACCCAGATGTCCCTTGGTATAAGTTCATTCACTGGAGTCTAATCAGCCTGTATAGAGTCACTCCCTTAAATAAGACCTACTTTCCCTCACCCAGCAGTAATCAGTTGCCAATAGTTCCTTGGCTAGGGTTGGGGCCTGCTGCTCATTTCCCTTGTTCGATGCTGAGTTTTTGTCTGATTGAGTCGGCATGGGTCTTAGGCATGCTGACACCATTGTTGCAAGTTAATATGAGCAAGTCCCCAGTAGCCTGAAAGCCTCTGTTTTCTTATGTTCCTGCACCAACCCTGGCTACTACAATCATGTTGCCCCCTCTTCTGCAATGGTCCTTGAGCCGTGGGTGGGTGAGGATTAATTTAGGAGTCCTGTTCAGGGACATGCACTCTGCAGTCTCTTATTCTCTAAAACTTAGCCAGTTGTGGCCTTCTGTGTGCATCACACTCTGTTGTATGAGGAAGCTTTGCTGGTAAGAGTTGAGGGCTGTATTAGCATTCTCTCTACCCAGTGTTCCGCCATGTTCCATAAGCCTTCGGTGTAGATATTACACTGTAAATATGTCACTTAGAGCTGGGCATCTTCCAGACACATATTCTCTATGTGTGACCAGTTGTGGGATTCTGTAATAGCCTCTATCTTTTGCAAAAAGGAAAGCTTCTTTGATGAGTGGTGTATAGTATGCTTGTCTATAAATATACGGATCCATATTTAGCATACAGTAAGAAATTTCATTTGTCTAGAGATATGCCAGAGACAGGGCTTATTCTAGAATCTATGGCCTTTCCAGTCATGTGTATTTGGCTAAATTTTCAATACCACCCATGAATTTCCTCCTATTGAGAGGACTTTAAGTCCAATTAGATAGATGTTGATTACCCCTAGATAAAAGTACCACTACTATACTGAGTTTGTTGTGCCGGTCATTGTGTTCATTAGGACTTAGAGCTGGGTTAGTCCACTGATTGATTTTCTCTCTTAGCAGCTTGCATAGTATCCTCTAGAACTATGAGAACTAGTCTTAAGGGAGGAGGCTTCCAGGTCAGTTCTAGCTCCATTGCTCTAAGTCCTGTGTCCGAATTATGTCTTGTCTTCAGCAATGTGGTCTTATGCTCAGGGTCTGGGAGGT